AAATTCGAGCCAAAGGAGAGGGAGAGCTGGGTTTTGGATCCCAAACACCCAAGGGACGAACCAAAGAGAGAGAGAGGGAGATTTGAGGGCATTCTTGGAGTGGAATTGGAGGATTTCTTTGCCTTGGAAGCTCGAGGAACAAGCCCGGACTTGAAGACTGATCATCTGAAGATTCTTACTGCAGTCTCTCTCTTCTCTATGGAGTAACTTCCCTTCACTTAGGTTTTGAGGAACCCTAGCTATGTTTGTTTGATTGGATGATTGTATGAGTACTCTGACTTGATAATCTTGAGTTCATATTCAATCTATGCATGTTTTCATGATTCAATTCTGCTTTAGTCGAGATTATTGATTCTGCTTTGATCCTATGAGAGGGAATACTTGATTAGGTCAATAGAGCACCATAGATTGATAGTAGTGGATCGATTGCTTTAGTCGAGGGTTGATTCACTGCTTTGTATCGATTGAGAACCTCTTTCGATAGAGGGAGTCTAGTTCAGAACGCCTTGATCAGTTGTTCTAGAGAAGGATACGTCCCTCTAGGCAATTGACTCAAGAGGGCCTTGTTCCTTTAGTCGAGACTCAAGGTCTAATCAAGGATTCTCCGCATTGTGAATGAAAGTGAAACAAGTTAGAAATCATCAATCGTTAGTCTGGCTAGTGGCTAGGGGCAATCGTACCTAAGTGAGTTCCCAACCTGTAATTAGATTAACTTTAACTGTAGTTTGCTAGAGTAGTTTTAGTTCTTCCTTATTAATCTGGTTTGCTAAATAATAAACTGAAGCTGAGTAATAGTAACTCTAGAGACCCGTGGATTCGATATTTATCACTTGAGCCACTATACTGCAGTCCCTTTCATTGGTTACACTTGGCCTTTGTTAGGAGTTGTGTCGTAGCGAGTCAGAAAAAAAAAGAGCTTTAGAGAGAGAAAGTGCAAAGAACAAATGGATTGATCCATGAATCCACCAATCCAATTGGATTTGGATCAAATGGATTGAATTAAGTGGATATTTTTAATGGATTGGTGGATTGAATTGAGAATTGCCACCTCTAGTCAACATCCAATTTATTTCGTTAAATGAGCATAATGATTGTATCGAGTCTCACTTGGATAGAATGATCTCGATGGATTTAAGAAACTTTTGACTGCATTAGTAGTGCAATCAAGAGAGATCAAGTGAGATTTTATTAGATGACACAAATTCAACACCCAACAAGCCAATCACCCCTCACTATACGAATCATTGTGAGATTCCTGCCACTAAGATTCCATTTGTGCCGCTACGATCAACAAGAAGGTAAACAACTAACATCCTAAGTGAACTGGTAGTCAACTACTCATCGAGAAATTAGTTTAGGGTTAAGGCCAATCATGAAATCTGTGAATAGGAAGCCATGCACTGAATAAGTTGATAGATTCTATCCATTCCCAAGAGGATTAAGGGTGCTCGAATGCACCACCTTGACAGGGATGGGTGATAGGTCTAATGTAGTGATGTGTGTGAGATGTCACCAAATTGAGATTGTTTGGTAACTCGTTAATGGTGTCAATATTTGAGGGTATGTCAACGTGCTATCCAAATTATTATCGACTTCAAAACAAATAAAGCATATCTCTTGGTGTATACATGTTAAGTCATCCATGGAGACATTATGACAACTTGACAAAAAGAGAGACTTTCAAGTTAGCATAAGGATGGTTAAGTTTTGAGTGGAGGAGTACGTTTCATGGCATGAAATTCTTTTACTTGTTTCAAATTATATTTTATGTAGTGTTGTGCAAGTCTCTTCTCAAAGAAAAGGAGAATAAGAGGGGTGCCCTAAAGGGACAATACTTTTCCAACATTAACTACCTCTTCAACCATATTGACTAAGAGGCGAATGAGGTAGATGTGGACTTGGATGAACAATATCCACATGGAGCCTCTTTAAGGTTCCTTGTGAACTAACATGGCTTTGATGGATGACTAAGGTCATCATTGATGTCATGCCATGCCAAAGTTCCTAAGTCAAGTCAGTAACTTTCAACGCTTCATCTCGAATTTTGCAAACTGGATCCAAGTGTTATCCTTAGGAAGAGGAGTTGGCCTAACTCATGTCAACTATATTCTACGCTTCATCTCGAATTCTATTGACCGAACCCCATTGTCATCCCTGTGACGTTAAGATCATCAACAAGCCTAGTGTGACATTAAAAATAAACCAAGTGAGCCCACTGATACCATGTCTATTGCTAAAAGAATGAGTGGGGCCATGAACATATTGCATGCTAATTAAGTAGATTATTGATCGAGGGTGAGTGAAAGTACTCCGAGAAAAGTTATTTGCAACCTAGTATATATCTTGCATGAAGCTATGTTACTACTTGATCCGTGTTCAAGTACAGTTCAATTATAAAACCGACTTGATTGAATACATGTACTAAAACTAATCATCAACAAAAGATTTGATAATTAGTCACTTACTGAATCCGAGTTTAACTTACTATATGTATAAAGGGAGCGGATCAGGTCAGTAACCTTATGGTGAGTAATCATGAGTAACCAGCCCACATCAGCATGACATCAGCATCCTCTCTCTCCTAGAAAGTCTTTAATTTTCCCCTCTTTAATCTTTGACGGACGATTTCTCACTCATTTTAAGTCGATTTTTTTTTTTGCACAGTTAGATCAGATTAATTGTGCTCTTCAAAATGATATCCACTTTAATATATTTTTCGAACAAAAAAAATTGAGTCATTTTTTACCAGTCTATACCATATGGTATTGACTGGTATTGAAATAAAAGCATAACTATGGTTTGAAAAACGTACCATGGTGGTATGAACAAACCAAGACTGTAGGATGGTTGAACGCATGATAGTAGAAGTATATTAATTGTCATTTACGACTTTTAACATTGTATACAGGGTGGTATTGTATGGTATTGTGTGGTATTTTTTGGTCCTGTAATTTGTTCACTCAGAAATTTGTAGATCCAATAGATCATGATGAACTCGTCCTTTCTATGCAAACGTTTTCAAAAACGAATTAAAAACGAAGAAGTATTGTATGGTATTGTATGTTATTTTTTGGTCCTGTAATTTGTTCACCCAGAAATTTGTAGATCCAATAGATCATGATGAACTCGTCCCTTCTGTGCAAACTTTTTCAAAAACGAATTAAAAACGAAGAAGATACCATATGGTATGCAGTTGGTACCGAGAGGCCAGAATTTTTTTTTCTAAAAAAATATTGAAAATTATTCTCATTTGGTAGAGCACGATGAACTCGTTCCATCTGTGCAAAAAAAATTAAAATCCGAGTTAAAACGAAAAAGATATGAGCCGATTAAGAAAGCTAGGAAACATAAAAATGGTCCTTAATTTTCCATCCTTAGATCTGGATTTTCTAAATGAAGGGTCCATATTTGGTTATTGATGGATGCATAACCCATAGTTATGCACCCTATCTTGAGGGGAATGGATCAGGTCAGTAACCTTATGGTGAGTAACCATGAGTAACCCGTCCACATCAGCATGACATCAGCATCCTCTCTCTCTTGGAAAGCCTTTAATTTTCCCCTCTTTAATCTTTGACGGACGATTTCTCACTCATTTTAAGTCGAAATTTAATTTTTTTTGCACAGTTAGATCAGATTAATTGTGCTCTTCAAAATGATATCCACTTTAATATATTTTTCGAACAAAAAAAATTGAGCCATTTTTTACCAGTCTATACCATATGGTGTTGACTGGTATTGAAATAAAAGCATACCTATGGTTTGAAAAACGTACCATGGTGGTATGAACAAGCCAAGACTGTAGGATGGTTGAATACATGATAGTAGAAGTATATTAATGGTCATTTACGACTTTTAACATTGTATACCACACAATACCACCCCGTAACAGGGTGGTATTGTATGGTATTGTGTGGTATTTTTTGGTCCTGTAATTTGTTCACCCAGAAATTTGTAGATCCAATAGATCATGATGAACTCGTCCCTTCTGTGCAAACGTTTTCAAAAACGAATTAAAAACGAATAAGATACCATACAATACCGCCCCGTACCAGAGTGGTATTGTATAGTATTGTGTGGTATTTTTTGGTCCTGTAATTTGTTCACCCATAAATTTGTAGATCCAATAGATCATGATGAACTCGTCCCTTCTGTGCAATCTTTTTCAAAAACGAATTAAAAACGAAGAAGATACCATATGGTATGCAGTTGGTACCGATAGGCCATAATTTTTTTTCTCAAAAAATATTGAAAATTGATCTCATTTTGTAGAGCACGATGAACACGTTCCATCCGTGCAAAAAAAAAAATTAAAATCCGAGTTAAAACGAAAAAGATATGAGTCAATTAAGAAAGTTAGAAAAAATAAAAATGATCTTTAATTCTTCTTCCTTAATTCTGAATTTTCTAAATAAAGGGTTCATATTTGGTTATTGATGGGTGCATAACCCATGGTTATGCACCCTATCTTGAGCTTATCTTGAGCCATGTATAAGAGAAAGTCATCAAGAGTCGAGTCCTCCCTAACTTCATGGCAGATCACCTCCTAAAAGTAGTAATTAACTTATTTAGGAAATTATTAAAACATTAAACAATATTATCCAAAGTTTACTCGAAAAGTAGTAATTTAACTTGTTTAGAAAATTATAAAAAACAGTAAACTATATTATTCAAGTTTATTCGAAAAGAGATGTGAATCGTGTTTTTTTTTTTTCTGGTAATTATGGATAGATATATTTTCTAAAAAATATGTATCTATTGAATTCAAACACAAATTTTTCTTTCACTGAAATCCGTACACACACCATAACCAAACTGATGAAAGTTGATATATTGTACAATGATCTCATAGATGTTCTTCAATAATCAACCCATTGGTAAGAGACCCTTTCTCCAAACAATATGACAATATGGACGCATTACATATATGACAAGTCTTTTTGTGTCATTTTGCCATAAATTCGAAGGATAAAAGATGTAAGCATACCACCATTGGATACAATAATATATGTCTTTCATTAATAGTAATTGTAGTATTTAACCAAAAATCCAAAAAACAGAAATGGATCCTATAAGATTAGCAGAGGTTTAAAATCTCCTCCACGGCTCCACCCAAATTCAAGTCTCCTTGGCCCACTCCCTCAAAAAAAGAAAAAGCACACCTTAAAACTATGCAACTGCTGAAAATCCTCAACGGGGAAAAAACCAAAAGCTTCTCGTCCATTCCACGGAGCTCTAACCTTTAACAATTTAATTGAACAAAACACACTAGTAATTTACTCGTAATCATCCCGCCGGTCCTACGCGGCCGACGGCGCTGTAACGTAATGAAGAACTCCAGCCTCCGACAATGCCGCCAGGAACGGCTGCACATTCACCGCCTCCGGATTCACCACCGCTGCCGCCTCCGACCCGACCCAGTTCCCGTAATCCAACGACTCGTCCTCGTAAATCTCCCACCACTTCTTCACCAGCATTTTGATGTCCTCTTTCTCCATGTTCTCTTCCTCCCCTGTATACCTCCATGGCTTAGATCCCTGTCACAACCAACATTAGTATGAAACCAGAGCCAATTGATCCCAATAACTTGTTTAATTTAACCACTTACCGCGGCACAGTAGTGGACGACTTTGACCTTTTCCAGCTGGACGTTTTCTGGGTGGCGCCACAGCATCGCGAGCACGAGATTGTACGCGTTCGGAATCGGCCGGTAGACGTCCCTGAAGAATATGTTGAGGAAATCCTGCTCGGCGAAGGGAGTCGGCGGCGTGATTTTCAGCTTCTTCATCAGCTCGTCGTAGATCGCCAGGCTGGGCTCGTAGACAAACATCCCGGCGTTGAAGTAGAGAGCGGGCTTCGGGCCCATTTTGTCGACGGCCCAATTGACTTTATCGGGCCTCTGCTGGCAGTACCCGACCTTGTACTGCGGGGTGTGGGCCCACGTCTTCTCGCAGAAACAGTCCATCACCGCGTAGAAGTGGCCGTCGGGGAGGTCGAAGAGGTGGTCGATGTTGTCGAACACCTGGATGTCGCCGTCCAGGTAAATCATCTTGCTGTACTCCACAAACTGCGACACCAACCAGAAGTAATAATTCAATCAATCAATAAAATTACTATGAAGTAGTACGTAATTACATCGAACTAGTAGAGTATGTAACAAAATTCGTACTACACATAGTCTAGGTGTGGTTCGAACGAACTGTTACCTTCCAGATGCGGAGCTTGGAGTAATTGATGACGTAGTACGCCATGGCGAACTCGGTCTGGTTGTCCGGCGGGGAGACGGGCTCGATCTCCCTGACGATGCAGCCCTGGGAGACGAGGATCCGGCGGTGGTCCACGGGGACGTCGGGGAGGATGGCGACGACGAGAGGGTACTTGCTCTTGGCCTTGCGGAGTCCCTTGGCGAGGCCGACGACGCCCTTCACGTAGTCGCCGTTTCCGGCAAGGAAGGTGACATAGGCGCACTTGGATATGCTGGGCTGCTTCGCCAGAGTGGTGGCGGCGGTGGTCAGGGTGCCGTTGGCGATTGGTGTGATCTCAGGAGCCATTTGTAGCGAAATGGAAAAAGCTGTTGATGTTTGAGTGGAACGACTATTGAGGGAATTTGGAATCTCTTTTTCTTCTTCTGTTTGCTTTGTGATTTGGTTGGATGGCTTGTGGTGGAGTTTGGAGCTACGGGAGGGGTCTATTTATGGAGAAATGGGGACGACGGTGGGAATTTTTAGAAAATTTAATTCTCAATTTGATTTATTTTGGTTTTTTTTATTAATGCAAGATGGAGGGAAATTTGTGATTGGTTAAGACTTAAGATGGATTATGTTTTAAGAAAAGGGTGATTAATGTGGTGGGGAGATTAATTCTTTTTCTTAATTTAAATTATCTGTGTCCAGTCCACGGGAGAAGTTACTAGAGGGTGGAGTCCGCGATCGGACGGTTGGCAGAGGATCAAAACGCATCGGACGGCTTCGGAGAAAAGAGTGATTTTCAAACAAGCTGGAGGGAAGATACCAGAAGATCCCTTCTCCAGACCTTTCCCCTGCTGCTACTGCTGCAGACAGCATAGCGACTGCTGATTTTTCAATAATACCCCTCTGGTACACCATTCACCTACCTAGAAATTGCGGTTAATTTAGAAATTAAATTTAATTAAATCAGTCTTTTAACCTTAGCGCCAAATTACGGAAAATGGTTATTTGTCCCGGTTGTTTTCCAGATTTCACGGTAGGGGGAAAAAGGGGCGCGCGTGGGACCCACAACGGGGAACCATTAGAGGTGCCACGAAGGAGGAACACGTGGTGGAAATTGAAAGAGGAGTGGTTCTTTGTTCCGGTTGCCGACCCCGCCTTTGCGTGGGACCCGCGGGATTGGTTGCATGGCACATTGAGGGTATGCGCTGAGGCCAAGTGTCGGCGAGTCATTCACAGGCCGGGTTTACCTGCCACGTGGGGTGGCTGGATCGCGTTGGATCGGGGTGGGCTGGAGATTTGAGCTTTGGGCCTTTTTTATTGTTTAGTTTGTTGGTCCTGCTACTGTGGCGTCGGTCTTCTCCTCTAGTTTGATCGGGCAAATTACAACCCGACCCGTTAAGCTGATCCGAAACCGCTCGATAACTAGAAAATTTTTTAACTATTAATCCGAATGACCAGAACCCAATAACCCGTGATTTTTTGGATTGGATTGGGTGGGTTAGTGGGTCGACCTGTTAGACCCGTTTCATTTTATATATCACTCCCAAAATAACATCACTCATAAATGGGTGAGGTTTTTAAAAAAATCACAAAGATTTGAATGGCATGTTTGGAGTTTAAGGATAATAAAATATCATGTGTTTCTTGTAGTAGTATTACTCTTGTGATTGTTTTTTGACAATTTGCCGCAATTTGTATTTTATTTCATTAGCGTGGGAGGATTTGAGAATATGTTAATTAACATGTGTTATGTAAACTATTGTCATGCATATGTGAAAATTTTTTCTCTTTAAGAAAATATGAAGCATGTTTGATATTGTTTCTGAGAACGATCATAACCCGAAATGACCTGTAACACGACCCAAAATCGAATGGGTTTGGTCAATATTTGATCCGAAATTAGTCAAGCAAACATGATCCGACCAGTAACCAAAGTCCCCAACCCAACCCGATTGCCAGGTCTAGGTGGACTGGAGAAGTGGAGATAAGATTCATTAATTTTTACTTTATTACAAATCCAAGCATTATTATGATATAAGTAACTGTGATCTGGTGACCGGTGAGGCAGTGAATATTGCTGTACTTTTTTCTTTGTCGATGATAAAGGGAAAGGAGATTGTGAACAGAATAATAGTTTAAAAATGAACGAATCAGGTTAGTAACCTTATGGTGACTAATCATGCGTAATCTATCCACATTAGCATGATATCAGCATCACTCTCTCTCCTGAAAAGTCTTTAATTTTTCGCTCTTTAATCTTTGACGGACGATTTCTCACTCGTTTTATGTCGAAATTTATTTTTTTACACAGTTAGATCAGATTAATTGTGCTCTTCAAAAACGAAGAAAATACCATATGGTATGCAGTTGGTACCGAGAGGCTAGAATTTTTTGTTCTAAAAAAAATATTGAAAATTGATCTCATTTTGTAGAGCACGATGAACTCGTTCCACCTGTGCAAAAATTAAAATCCGAGTTAAAACGAAAAAGATATGAGTCGATTAAGAAAGTTAGGGAAAATATAAATTCTCTTTAATTCTCCATTCTTATATCTGGACTTTTTAAATGAAGGATCCATATTTCATTATTGATGGTTGCATAACCCATGGTTATGCACCCTATCTTAAGCCGTTTAAAAAGAAACCTGTTCGATTGGCGAACCGACAATTCTTAGGATAACGTTTGTTCAGTGTATGTTCCTGCTAGCTACAAAATCAATGAAAACGTTTATTTTGGGTCAAGATTGCGACCACCACACCACGTTTCATGGCTTGGATTGTGCCAACAGTAAACTATGGGCTACGTAATTTAATTTCTTCCCACCTTTCTGTGTGGATGAATAACTTATGAGGCAAGGTATCCAACAGTGGGTGATTTTTTCCTTGATTTGGAGGGACCCAAGAGCTAACTATAATCTTGGAGTAGTTGTCACTTCATGATAGAATCAGTTTATATATCCTTTATGACCGTTGTTCACACGTTTTGGGGAAGGTGTTACTGTGGTAGTGATTGTAACCTCACTACTATCAGTCAATTCCCTGTAATTTTTCCACGATGATGGGATATATTACCGGCTAAATTTTTTTCATGGGGGTGATCCGATGATAAAGGTATTGACTTTGTACAAGAAGATTTATAATTCGTATCTCACCATGGTCATCATTAGCTAGGGAGTATATGATCACTTGTATATACTACATACACATAACAAGCAGCGTGATAATTTGTCCGCCTGCTACGGACAATGTGAGACGATATATTTAATTGAACTTAATTATGAGCTAAAATTTCATTTTCGATCGTCAGAATATGTATAACGTTAGACCGTTGATCACCCGAGAAAACTGATTATACAATCCTGGAATGCCATTACGTACAATATTAAACAGTTCAAAGGAGAAAGCTCATGACATGATGGTTTGGATAACGGGATTTAGGGCATGGATTCATTGAATCCGTAGATTTTCTAGAAAGTTATGTTTTTTTGTTGTTTTTTGTATTATGGATTTTAGATTTAGAGATTTCAAATCTCTAAAATCTACGGATATAAAATCTCTTATAATCAGAAAGATTCTATATCTTGATTCGTGAAATTTTTTCTCGTGTTTTTTCTCTTTCTTTTATTTATTTATCATATTAAATATATTTATCAACAAAGTTTTTAATATTTATCGAATCACTCTAATTTTTTATTATGGATAAACACGTTATTTAATATAAAATTAAATTTTTTATTTTCATTGAATGTTAACAATCACAATTACCTAACGATAAACATTTTAAAATCTATTTTCAACAATACAAAGAATTAGAATCTTTAGATTGTTGACAATCTATAGATTTAAACTCATATTCTCCAAACGACCCCGATATCCTGATATGTCATTATCCTCTTTCTTGCATGAATTAATCTCTAGTGTGGATAGAGATTTGAGCTGTACCATTATTCAAATGAAGCACAAGTTTAATTAGGCGGTTATTAATATGTATGTGGGATCCGATATTAACTATAAAGATCACGTATAGTGAAAGAAGAAAGTGAGGGAAGAGGCGGAAGAAGGAACAGCTGGGGAGTGGGAGGTGGTACCCAGCTGAACAATTAAGTTTACCAAATCCATGCACGTCGATATTAATATTCCATTCAACAACAGTAGTTTTAGTGTGTAAGAAAAGGAATGGTCGGTCGGTCATCTCAATCTCATCCCTTTTGATGCTGTCGGTGATAGAAGAAAGGAAAATGAAAAATTGAAAATACAGTTAGTTTCTTTCTCTCTTTTTCCGCTCCGCCAGGCAGCTTCAGCCACATTTCATCATCGACGGACGGTTGCCTCATCCTGCTCCCCATTCCCCAGCTCAGCTGGGTGGGTTTAGGTCATCAACCAACGTACGTGTCCCACGTCCCCATCAACTTAATTACCCCTTGTTCCAGGCAGCTACTGGCTTAGTCAAGACTCATCAAAGACAGATCGGACTATATCTTCAACAGTAATAAATCACGCCCTAAACTTTGGGATTTGGATATTCCTAAAAGTTATTCCTTATGCTTCGTTAGGTTTGACTTGATGCACACGCATATTACACGGCGAGCGACGTACACAGTTAAGTGTCCGTTGGTATATGGCGGCCGTTGCCCTTTGGTAGTTATTATGGTTGAATTCTTTTGAGGTTGTTATTACTTATTATAGTGGGCGGTGGATTCTTGGATTGGATAACGCCTTCTTGTGTAAGGCTAAGGAAGAAGAATACGAATTAATTAACAAGATGACTACGTGCCGCCCCCACAAACCAAAATATTCAAACTGAGATGAATTTTATTGTTTACTGACTCCAAATCCCCATCTTTCCTCAAGCTTTCCGTCTTCCTCGTTTGTGATTCGTGCAGGGTGATGGGCCCTCCAAATGTACCATGGGCTTCCTTTCCACTGTTGTCCCCATTTTTTTTCCTGGGCTTCTAGCCTGGTTTTGTGAAAGAAACTACTTCGTTGCTTGTTATTCGTGCGGATTACGGGTGGGTTCGTACTTGGAAACCGATCAAGTTCAAACTCGAAATCAAAATCACCAAATTTGGCTGGTGCAACAAACAAAAGTCTACAAAAAAAATTAGTGGGTAGCCGAGATACAATATGGGTCCCCACTCCCTTAACTATAGCAAAGCTAAGTCTAGATAAAATGTATGTGGCCGCCCGAGTCCCCGCATCCTAAGACACAGAGAAGACTCAGTCAAATCGACACACACATATCGCCCCTTGTCCTAGGAATAAAGCGGCAAATCCGCAGGACGAAGGGGTCTGTCATGCCCATCAACCAAACCGATATCAATTTCCCTACCGGCATAAATCATAGATCTGTAATAGATGTCCAATAAGGTATCACGAACGAGGTTGTGTCGATGCTTAATGCCCACAGAACCAGCATAGGACACAATCTTGGTTGGCCGGCTGCCCTAGCTGGGTAGTATATAAAGAGATTCTTCTCCTTCTTGTATTCT